CTTTTTCCTGCTAACGCGAAGCAAAGGGGCGTTTTACACACCCGCGGATCGGCCGTAGTGTCGTCAGAGCGCGTTACAGCGCGGTCGCGCGTTTCCAGTAAAGCCTCCTGCCCCTCTGTTTATAATATGCCATTTCTGTTTGTAATTATTTTTATTTTAATTTTATGTCATTTTTAACAGAAGCCAGGCCGATTTCCCCCGTGCTTTGTACACAATGCTCTCTTTCTCGATAAGATGTTCCTTCCTATCTTTTCGGTTTTTCTTTTTAAAATGTTTATAATTCCCCACGAGCAATTCTCCGTTATTTCTCTCTTGCGTTTTAAGGACTTGTCCCTGTCTTGCTTTATTTGTTTGTGTGAAATTTAGTTTGAAAGGAGATCAGAGAGAGCAGGAGGAGTTTGTAATAAGAGAATGACCAAGTGACCTAAAGGCTGATTATATGTCATTAACTGGAGACTCGGTGTATCCAAATTACCAAAAAGACCTCACTCGGGCAGATCAATTACACCGAGATACTCGCCGAGGCCCCGCGCTCCGCTGCCCCCGACAAGTGCGGGGCCGACGCTGCAGCCGCACCGCCCGCAGCCCGAGCGCTGCCCGCCGTTGACATGCGGGCACACGGCAGAGGGGCACCGGGCACACAAAACTCGGGCTGCGGAGAGGGGAACGCTGAGGGGATTTCCCACCCTCCGGAGGGGCTTCTTTTAAACCAGGCTTGGTTGCCTTTGATATGTTGAACGCTACTTAAAGCCCTGCCTTGTCCAGTGGGGTCTTTCCTCGATAACAATGGAAGCGTTGAGTTCTGTTAAACCCCAAACGATGCTAACCCAACCCCTCCAGTGCGTGAACTTCGGATGCTGGAGGAGAAATCAGTAATAAAGAAATGGTACCCGCGAGCGAGTTCGCTAGCGCCGGGCTCAAGATCGGCTTCAGGATGCTCTTTCCCAGGAATGCAAACAACATTACATGGAAAAATGTGTGCGTGTCTGTAGGCATCCATGTGCGTGATAGTACACTGGGTGTTCAGGAGACTGGCAACCAAAGAACAGAGAGACACAGTGTGCACTCACAGCAGCATTTCTTACAGCCTTTATTATCATCCTTCTGACAAAGAAGGGCTCTTGGTTTGAGTTCGTTGCATTTTTCTTTTCTTTCCGTGATTTCTTTCTAAGGTCTGAATGCAACTCTGGATCCTCAGTCACAAATATCAGCAACCCTCGAATAATTGCTCACACATGCAGTAGGAAAACGCACACGGTCCCGTGCTTACCGCCAATCACTGCAACCTGCACAGTGCTCACTGTCCTGGGTTATCCTCATCCCTGCTTTATGTTTTGTATGTCTTTTCCTTTTCTTTTCTTTTCTTTTCTTTTCTTTTCTTTTCTTTTCTTTTCTTTTCTTTTCTTTTCTTTTCTTTTCTTTTCTTTTCTTTTCTTTTCTTTTTTTTTTTCTTTTTTTTTTT